CCTGCTTCCTTTTTGGACCCTCTCCATGGGGAACACTTCTTTCCTTGAAATGTGTTCCCCAAAACTGGATATACAGCTACTTAGCTGAGGCCTTCCTAAGTGCTGAGTTTCTCTTGCAGGCCATACTCACATTTGGGAGTTGTATGGCGTTTTACAGCCGCACGACAGCATTAACTTCCACGAAGCTTATGGCCCAAAGGGATGGGGGAGTTTCAGTTTGAGAACTGCTATGTGATCAGTTGTTTTCAGTCTGGGTTTGTGGAATTGGCTGTGCTTGGACTGATTGCAATTGAATGCTGCCCTTCTCAGGCTGGTTCTTGGGCTTGTCAAGGCCATCCTGACCTGCAGCATGCACTCTGCTGCCAAGTTGTGTCCTCCATTTGCTCTGTCTGTTGTTCTACCTACTTGAGGGACTGGGTTTATACCTGTGCAGCCCATTAAATATATATGTTCAGGCTATATTTACTTAGTTTGTTGGTTAAGTTTAAAACATAATTGTAAATTCCATTAAAACATTCTATAAAGACCAAACTTTAATGACTTTAGAATTTATGGTTTGGACATAGGTTTAGGATTATTGCAGTTTAGTGAGTTGCCTTTCAGCTGAACTGTAGTACCTGAACCTGTGTTCATTCTTAGCAGTGACATCTGAAAATTAAAATTAGTTTGCTTAAACACCTTTTGTGCTGAGGCTTAAGCTCTGTATTTTTATCTCGTGCTTGTTGGGGGCTAAAACTGCGTTCTGCCAGTTGAAGCTTACCCTACGTAAGGCAACTCATTAAGCTTTGGTAAATGGAAGGTGTACCCAGGCCCGTGAATTACCCTAGGCTTGTGCAGGGAGGGTAATCAAATGTGGGGTTTTGTCTGACAGCAAAATTATCCTTGTTCTAATACTACTGACATCAAAGCAATTGCATTAAAAGCCTATGTACCTTTGTGTGCTTACTCTTCGCATTATGAGCTGCAGTAGTCCTGCAGTAATAACATCACAGCTTTTGGGTATTTTTGAATGTAAAAGTTGCTGTTTTACTTAGTTCTCGGGATATTTTGCTGTCCCACAGGCTAGCTCTGCTGTTGATGCTGAAGATCACTGTTGGGTTCTCCTGCATCAGGTCACGGAGGAAGGAACAAACTGCTGTAGCATTTAAGGTGATGACTTATCAGAGTTTATATAATGATCTATAACTTCCTGCGTTTATTGTGTGTGTGCTTTACTTTTTAAATTCTTGTTTGTTTGTTTGTTTTTAAATCTCGAGCACCCAATGCAGTTCTGATGGTCTTGGAGGTGCAGCGCCCTGCATGCAGGGTCTGGTGGGTGGTATAAATGCAGGAGCAGACCTGATCTGCCCCGGGAGAGGGCAGTAGTGCACTGGCGCAAAAACCCTGTCTCTTGGCTCTGTAGGATATTTCTTTCCGATGTCTTCTGCACCAAGTATCGAATTCCTATAAAAATCAATTTAAAAAGTAGAAGTACACCAACGAATCCCTTTGCAACACTGCTTAAAGTGTATTTATTTGTATTAATAGCTCAAAGGTCCAGGGGCACTGATGTTACATATTTTAACCAGACTTCTCTCCAAGCAAGAAGGTGAAGCTTCTTTCTCCTGATATATCAGCCTTGTCTCCCCTGCAGGTTGGAGGTTGTGGAAAAAACCCTGAAAAGTTGGCAAATTAAACTGAACTTTCACACTTTGTGTAATTGGATTAGCTAAGAGGGTTGGTTGTTTTTAAAGTCCAGTACTTCTGGCTGTTAACATGGCAAGGAGTATTTGTATGCTAATAGGTGACTCTTAGAAATTTTCTGGTAGGTTCTGTATATATCAGCTCTTAGTATTTTTTTATATATGCATATGTATCTTTAAGTTATCAGTTGATATAAA